ACGTTAAAGACAAGATTTATAGCCTTTACAGGAATATACCAGCCTGTCTGGTATTATTGCAAAGATCCCATTTTGGAAATGTACCTTTTTTTGAAATGTGCCTCGTTTGGGAACTTCTGTTGAGATAAAACCTGCCTCCAGAAGCGGTGAATGCGCCAACAACGGAAGTTTTCAAGAAGAAACTGGACAGCCATTTGTCTGAAATGGTATAGGGTTTCCTGCCTGAGCAGGGGGTTGGACTCAATGACCTCCAAGGTCCCTTCCAACTTTATCATCATTATTATGTAATCCGTATAATTTGGGGTCTCTGTGTGTGTGTGTATCCAGTGTCAGTACTTGACCACTTCTATTATTGTATTCAGGAACCCTCACTGTACACTGTAGTATCCTCGGTGTAAGCCCAAAGTTTCCACTGCTGAGGGAGACAGTTGTTATGTGAATTTTGATCCTTTTTACAACTTTTCTTGCCACAGTAGGGGGTTAAGCGAAATTGGCTTCCTGCATTGACTTTGCTTGCCAGAAAGTCGCAAAAGGGGAATCACGTGATTCCGGGACGCTGCGACCGTCGTAAATATGAGTCAGTTGCCAGGCGCCTGGATTTTGATCACCTGACCATGGGGCTGATGCAACGGTTGTTAAGTATGGTTAAAATGTGGTACTGCAGGCTAATTCTGAGGACTGCCCACTGCCAGTAGTTCGATCCTGACTGGCTCAAGGTTGACTCAGCCTTCCGTCCTTCCGAGGCCGGTAAAAGGAGGACCCAACAGGCTGACTCTGTAAACTGCTTAGAGAGGGCTGTGAAGCCCTGCGGTATATATAAGTGCTATTGTTATAAGTTACTTTTTTCAGTGGCTTCGTAATTTCAAACGGTCAATAAACGAATGGTTGTAAATCGAGGACTACCTGTACTCAAAACTCTGAAAAGATACAATGTTCACTTGACTTGATAGCTACAATAAATACAATCAGTGCTAGAAGGGAATGGAGGAGGAGGGGGGAGGGGGGAGGGGGGGGAGGAAGAGAGGGAGGAGGAGGACTGTGGGGTCCCTGGTGCTCTCTGAGCTGGGTGGTTTCCTTGCAGATGTTTCATTACCCAACTAGGTAACATCATCAGTGCTAGAAGGGAATGGAGGAGGAGGAAGAAGAGGAAGAGGAGGAGGAGGAGGAGCAGACGACGACTGTGGGGTCCTTGGTGGTCTCTGAGCTTGGTGGTTTCCTTGCAGACATTTCATTACCCAGCTAGGTAACATCATCAGTGCTAGAAGGGAATGGAGATGGAGGAGGAGGAGGAGGAGGAGGAGGAGGAAGAGAACTGTGGGGTCCTTGGTGCTCTCTGAGCTTGCTTGTTTTTTTGACGTTTCATTACCCAACTAGGTAACATCATCAGTGCTAGAAGGGAATGGAGGAAGAGGAGGAGGGGGGGAGAAGGAGAAGGAGGAGAGGGAGGGGAGGAGGAGGAGGACTGTGGGGTCCTTGGTGCTCTCTGAGCTTGGTGATTTCCTTGCAGACGTTTCATGACCCAACTAGGTAACATCATCAGTGCTACCTGTTTAGAGGAGGTCTAGAGGACTAACAAGAGTAACAGAATCTGGAAGGGACCTTGGAGGTCTTCTAAGGCCGGACTAGCACTGATGATGTTACCTAGTTTGGGTCATGAAACATCTGCAAGAAAACCGCCCAGCTCAGAGGGCAGCAAGGACCCTTCGGTGTCAGAAGAAGCAACTTCACCGAGAGTTTCCCAAAAACAGAACTCGATCGTGTAACGTCAGAGTTAACGAAAATGCTTACTTTTTGGCAAGTCTCCGGTGCTGGATGCCGAAACCGTCCTGCTCCTGTCGTGGGAGGGAGTGCTTCCGTCTCTTTCGGTTGCAGTCGATTCTTCAGAAACCGCCAAACCACAAGCAACGGAATCTAAAGCTCCGGGGTACACCGAAGCGGAAAATTCAGAATATTGTGATTCTGGAATGTTGTGACGTCCGTTTGGCAATTCACCGTTAAATTGTTCGTAAGGGCTGCCGTAGCTGTACTCGCTTTTCGCGTTGGGCTCGTCGAGGTGATATTGCTCGGCATTCGGGCCTTCCTCCTCCTCTTCCTCCTCCTCCTCTTCCTCCTCAATCTGCTCTTCCAGGGAGAAAGGGCCATCGATAATGTGGCCGTTGGTTTTGGGAGATTCTATCCAAGCGGGATCCGCGGACTCTGAGTTGGCCAGTTCTTGTTCCAGGTCCTCGTCCTTCTCCGTGTCTTTTTCTTTTTCCGTGTCGTCTTTCTCGTCTTGGTCTTCCGTGTCTCCTGAGGGATACAAAGAATACAATTCTTCATTGCCCAAGTCTGGTTGGACACACAAGGAAATTGTCTCCGGTTCGTAAGCTCTCAGTGTACGTAGAAGTAATAGCGATCGTCATGATGATAAACAACGTGAAATGCATTCATCATGAATCGTAAAATACAACACATTCATCATAAATTGTGCACTTAGTGATAGTCATAGAGCACTGGCTAAGCAAAACATAAATCATACTAGGACAGGGGTCCCCAACCCCCCAGTCTGTGGACCAATACCAGGCCGCGGCATGCCAGCAACCAGTCCGCACAAACGAGCAAATACTTTGTAAATTGTGACTTTGTTTGATTGTTGCACACATTATTGTACACAGTTAGTCAACAGTCATCTTGAATTCCATCACAACCTTAATTCAATCAATCAGAATAGAGCTGGAAGGGGCCTTGGGGGTCTTCTAGTCCAGCCCGCTATTCAAGCAGGAGACCCTATATCATTACTCGATTACTACATTTAGTAATTACTAACATCAAGCCGAGTAATTTGACTTTATGGAAGCTATATCTGTAATTTCTTCATATTTGGTACTAAATATACTTATAGATATATCATTATACACATTCAGGGTCTTTAGCCTCAGATGCCTTTAAGTGATGTAGGACAGGGGTCCCCAACCCCCGGTCCATGGACCGGTACCGGGCCACGGCATGCCAGCAACCAGTCCGCACAAACAAGCAAAGACCCATCCGTGGGATGCAGGCAGCACACAAAACCACACACTCCCTCCGGTCTGTGGAAAAAACTGTCTCCACGGAACCGGTCCCTGGTGCCCCAAAGGTTGGGGACCTCTGTACTAGGATAGTAAAAAAACAACAACAATATAAATTGTTAGATACAAGCAGCAACGTTATAGTCATAAGAAGAGGATAGGTAGGAAAGATGAGGAGTATCGTAGTAATACAGCTTTACTAAGTCGTTTGACAGTCGTCGTTAAACAGAGCGACGGCAAGGGGGGGAAAAAAGATACTACGTGTTAAAAACATATTTTAAAATGCTACTTTTCAAGGCGGGATCCAGAATACAGGCAGTCCTCGACTTACGAGCCCCACATTTCTGTTACTAAGCAAGAACATTTTGTTAAGTGAGTTTTGCCCTGTTTTACAACATTTCTTGCCACAGCTGTAAAGCGAACCGCCGCAATTGTTAAGTAACATGGTTGTTAAAGTTGAGTGAAAAGGAGATCCCATGACCCCAGGACACAGCGACCGTCATAAATACGAGCCAGTTGACAAGCATTTGAATCATTTGGGTCACACGATGGGGACCGTAGTCAAGGATTACCTGCACTGCTCGGCTAACGAAGAAAAATCTTTCCTGCGTGTAGAAATATGCATTTAATGCATAATAAATAGATGGGGTTAACAAACTAACTCACCGTCTTCTTCGTTTCCAGGTTCTTCGTCTGCCACTTCCTCTAATTCTACAGTTTTTAGTTTGACTTCGGGATGGTACTCGTCCTCTTGTTCGTTGGACGGAGTAGTAGAGGTGACATTGTCTTCCGTTTTTTTCCTCTCCGCTTCTCGCTCCAGTTCCTCTATTTCCTGCAAACGCTTTTCTAGCAGCTCGGCCTGCCTCTTTTGCTTTTTTTTTAGTTTCTTCTTTTTATTTTTAGATATCTTTCCAATCTGGAAGGGGAAAATGGGGGAAAAAAACATCAGAAATTAGTCTGGAATCACACACGATAATTAGTTTGTTAGGTGTCGCTAATCTGCTGATGTTGCACACGTTAGTGATGGAGAGACTATTACCCCTTCCTGTACGAAAACGCTGGAATCCTAGAAATCTAATTTTCAGATACAAATCTCTTGCTTTTGTGAAATAAAAAAACAAGCTTAATATGCGACACGGCCATCTACTTGCTATCAACCAGCTTAAATCCACTTTTTTGGGGTTTTTTCCAAACCATCTAAAAAAATCTGTCTGATAAAAATACAGTTCAACGGTAAAAGTAACCTTACAATGAGAATACCATTTGGTATAGTTCTAGTCCAGGAGTCTTCAAAGTTGGCCCTTTGATGACTTGTGGACTTCAACTCCCAGAATTCCTCAACCAGGCACAAATTCTAGGAGTTGAAGTCCACAAGTCATCAAAGGGCCAAGTTTGAAGACCCCTGTTCTAGTCCCAACTTAGTCATGAAAGCCAGCTGGGTGACTTTGGTGTTTGTGTGTGGGGAAAATAGGAGGAAGGAGTATCGTGTGTGTTTGCCACCCTTGAGTTATTTGTAAAGCTAATAAAGGCAGGATACAAATAAAATTAACAAAGATTTATCTGTGGCCTCAAAAATAAAATAAATAAAATAAAATAATAAAATAAAATAAAATAATAAAATAAAAAATAAAATAAAATAAAATAAAAAATAAAATAATAAAATAAAATAATAAAATAAAATAAAATAAAAAATAAAATAATAAAATAAAATAAAATAATAAAATAAAATAATAAAAAATAATAAAATAAAATAAAATATATAAAAAAATAAAATAAAATAAAATAAAAAATAAAATAAAATCTAAACTAAACTAATAAAATAATAAAATATAAAATAAAATATAAACTAAAATAAAATAATAAATAAAATATAATAAAATATAATCTAAAATAAACTAAAATAAAATAATAAAATAAAATAAAATAAAATAAAATAAAATAAAATAAAATAAAATAAACAAAATCAAATCTAAACTAAACTAAACTAAACTAAACTAATAAAATAATATAAACTAAAATAAAATCTAAAATAAAATAAAATCTAAACTAAACTAATAAAATAATAAAATAATCTAAAATAAAATAAAATCTAAACTAAACTAAACTAATAAAATAAAATAAAATAAAAAAACTAAACTAAACTAAACAAAATAAAATCTAAACTAAACTAAATAAAATCTAAACTAAACTAAATTAAAATAAAATAAAATAAAAACTAAATTAAAATAAAATAAGTGTGCAGTATGGGGGCATAAAAGTTATTTTTACCCCCATCGTAGAATGTCATGTTCTGAAGATCTTGGGTAGCTACTGCCCATTAAGACTTAATATGGAATCTTTCCTACAAAATATACCCATTTCCCACTCAAAGGTTAGTTTCCTGGAATGGGCCAGCTGGAATGTACCATTTTCCAGCCATCAAAAGCAGGACGTAGGATGGCGTTTCAATCTGCCTTTTTTTTAAAAAATGTCATGTTAAGAATGCATTGTTTAAGAAATGCACGGTGGAGAGCTCGGTAGCTATCAGAACGGACGGTCTCATCTTAAATTTCCCATGATAAATGCAGCTACTAAACCTGTTTCGGCATTTAACTGATCCTGCCTAAAACGCTGCCAGTTTCCACTCTTTTGTGACCATCGATATAAATTAGCAAAGCTATAAAGCTGAAGGAAGGCTGCTAATAATCTCACCCAAGTCAACGTTGAGGATGAAAAGGGGGGGAAACGACACAGACCACTGTGTATCTTTCTATACAGAAATAAATCCAATAAAGGCAACCGCTATAAAAATTCCCTACGCGGTCTTATTAAAAAATGTGCTAAGCTAGTGAGATCCCTTCTTTTTTTTCTTCCACCAACCGTTGTTGAAATTTTCCCCTGCTTCGCAAGCAATTTGTCATGAATTATGGAAATTTCATCTTCAAAGAAAAATATGTGGCATAGCTGCTATTTTGGGCGAGTGGCATTTTAATGCTTAACTNCCTAGCCTTCCAGATGTTGCTTAACTTCAGCACTACGAATAGGGCGACATAAAAAAAAATATTCCCAAAATAATATCCTGAAAGTCATGAGCCCTGGTGGCGCGGTGGTTAGAATGCGGTACTGCAGGCTACTTCTGCAGTTCGATCCTGACTGGCTCAAGGTTGACTCGCCCTTCCATCCTTCCGAGGTCGGTAAAACAAGGACCCAGATTGTTGGGGGCAACATGTTGACTCTGTAAACCGCTCAGAGAGGGCTGTAAAAGCACTACGAAGCGGTATATAAGTCTAAGTGCTATTGCTGTTCCTTCCTTCCTTCCCTCCCTCCCTCCCTTATTATTCCTCTCTTATTCCCTTTTCTCATTGTCCTTCCTGGTGGCACAGTGGTTAGAAGGAAGTATTGCAGGCTAATTCTGCCTACTGCCAGGAGTTTGATCCTGACCGGCTCAAGGTTGACTCAGCCTTCCATCCTTCCGAGGTCACTAAAATGAGGACCCAACTGGCTGAGACAAGAACAATGTCATTTCATGTACTGCTACACGTTGTAACATGCAGGTTTTGGGCTATTAAGAATAATGTCAGTAACTAATTTTCTAAACTGGAACTCCTCAAAGATTCCTATTTCCAAGTATTATGATCTCAAGTGTTTTATAACTTTACACTCATGAGGAATTCGTGGACAAATTTCCCCTTAACACCACAAATACCTGGAAGTAATGCAAAAAAAAGGGGGGGGACTAAAATCACAATATTTCCAAGTTTCGCTAGACCAGACATGTCAAGCTCGTGACGTCATGTCACGCAACGTTATTGGGAATTTTGCCGTGGCCGGCAATGGGGTGGGCGTGGCTTCTGTGTCACGCGTCCGGCCTACGGGCCGGCAGTTTGACACCCCTGTGCTAGACAATGACATATTAATACCTAAACTGACATATTAATAGCGAAACCTTACCTGTTGTATTATACTTTTTACACAATGGATCGGAAGGCCCTGATAGCTGGACTTAATTATCCATTTTAAAAGGTGATGTCCGAGTACTTCAAAAACCATACAGACATCTGTGTTTCCATTAAGGATAAATGGCAAGGGATTTTTTATTGGCATACAATTATGTTTACAGAGCCATTACAAAGAAGAATTCTGCTGAATGGACTCTTATTGCAAGGTTCTTATATAAAGTAAAGACAGACGTTCAGATAAATTGCACAGCCCCAGACTGGACCCATCAAAACTGCTTTCTACAGTATTTCCCACTATAATAATTCATTTTTAGAGAACTGACCCACTAACGTAGCATAATATTCTGAAGGGGATGAACAAGTTTTTTTTTAATATTGCTTAAAAAGACAAGACAGAAAAGATACGTATGCCGTTCAAGCCAGAAATTTTAAAGTCGTCAATTAATTGCACCACCATGTCTTTATTTGGATCGTTAGGGTCACTTTCACGGACCTAAAAACAAAGACGAGAAACAACATGTTACATTTTAAATAAATTCAGAAGCACCGACATTTATATTTTAACCACTTATTTTAAAGACAAGGCAGGTATCATGGTTCCAATAGAGGAGACCAGTAAAAAGAAAAGTCCTAAGAAGCAAGAGGTTTCCTTAAAAAACCTATTTATTGGCTACAATAAATTGGCTACCCGGGGTAGGGGCGGTGGGGTAGCGGTCATTATAAGGGAGAGCCTATGTCCGAGGGAGACCACTGTACCTCAGATAGACGGTGTGGAGTCTCTCCTGGTGAAGTGGGGACAAGGGGTGCAAGTGGGCTTGTTGATTATATACCTGGCCCCCTGCTATGTATCAACGGCCCTGCCTGAGCTGGCTGATGTAATAGCCG